ATAACAAATAGGAAACACATTAAGCAAGTGCTTGGCAGCAAGATTAAAATTTCTTGCTGAAATTCTGTAAATGGTAGAAGGGTTTGGCTAATGTAGCCCATTTATTTAATCAACCTTCTGCAGTCAGTTGTGCAAAACAATTACCTACAAGGAAAATGGAACAAGCATTTTCCTAATAAACACAACGGTTTAGTGCTGTTATCTGGAATTTATTTTTGTCTATATACATATATTTATGATTCTGTGGATAAATTGGGCTGTAATATTGCACCATATTTATGCCACATTAAAAATCCCTTCAGGCAATGAATGACCAAGTGGACACAGTCAGAGTATCTACTCCATAGCCGTAACACAACACCCTGACCTTCCTGAAGAGCACTGTCACATGACGAGAGAGCCATTAATGCTCACCTGGTTGAATAACACAATAAAATGGGTGGATTAAGTTATTTAATGGTAATTTTATTGATTAAGACTTAAGGCTGTCCTTAAGGGAATAGGTCAAATTTATACACCTAGTATGCCTAAGATCGGTGCCCAAGTCCGCTCACACACATACAGTATTTGCTGTTTGTGCACAGTTTATACAATCCACTTACACATAGAGACGTGTCAGAAATGCAAATCTGAGAATCATCCAATACGTGTGATTGCACAACACAATCTCTGTGCACAGCCCCTCCAGCATGCAGAACTGGCCACTGTCAGCCGGCCACTGAGCCTCCCCGCGCTGAGTGTTTCTCCTATGTGGGCAGCCCTCCGAGGTCATAGCACTCTCGAGAGTGCCTTGTTGGGGGCCAGGGACAAAAATATATTATTCTTAACACACGAAATGAGGTGATGAACTCGGAGTCTAACAGCTGTTGTTATCTGTGAGTCCTCAGACACGTAGCAAGCGATCCCTGATGTGTCTTCTGGTGCAGCAGCCTGCTGTGCCCCCTCTATTTAATCTGCCCCGTTGGCATGTGGCAGTGATTCATTTGCTCAATCTGCTCAATTCAAATTGAACACAGTTTATGCAATATTTCACAAATGTGGTGAGACAGCACAGTGGAGATATGGATCTCTGGGCTGAGCTTATCATGTTCTGCATCTTATCTATTATAGTTTTCATGATGTACTGCATGATTCCAATGGGAAAACTCATCTATATTTCTCCAGCTAGATGCCAAAATCAGTTTATAGGCCTGAATGACTGGCTCTGCAAGATTAAATTAAGCTTAGAACCTTGATAAACTGATACTGTGTTCAAGACCAAAGCAGCGATAAACTAAATAAGTGTCTGTCCAGGCTCAGAGAGTTTATTTCGTAAACCTGAAGATCAAGGCAGGTTCGACATAGACTTTGCATACACCAGTTCTCTAGTATCTTGAGATACTAAGGCAGGGAGAGACAGAGATAGCAGAGATAGTCAAACAGGACAGGCGATAGCAGACGGGCTGATCTGAGACTGAAGGCAAGCGTAGCAGGGCAGGCTGGCTGAGTTGTCGAGCAGGGCTTGGTGGCTGGAGCATGACACTTTGTCTGGTGCTTGGCTGGACAGATGTGAAGCAACCAGGCAGAGCGGGTTCGAGACAGACCAAGTATTCCTCGAGCCGAGTTCAAGCAGAGTGTGCTTCTAGGAAGCAGGCTTGTTGTGCTGTGAGCACTTCCCTTAACAGAAGGAAGCTCAATGACAGAGCACCGGATCAGTGGCGGATCAGGGTCTCAATATCCTGGGCTAATGGATTAATCACCTGTTAATTGGAGGCAGGCGAGTGGGAGTGAGTGGTCACAGGAGGTGTTTGACCCAGGAGGTGTTTGACTCCTCGTGAGATGCAGCTG